GGGGGGGGGGGGGGGGGTCCCTATTGTTGCGCAATACCGATCTTGAGACCCCCTTAAAATTTTACTTTTGAGGCTTTCAGGGGGTCTCATGAGTTAATCAGGGGTGTCGGACCCCCCCCCCCCCCCCCCGGACCCCCTGTATTTCGCACACTGGTTTCAGGGCAATTGATGGGGGTGTCTATCACCGCAGGTGGAGCACATTCACAGACAGTTGCGCTATAGAAACACTGTCAGGCAGTGAGAGAATGTCACTATGAGGTACAGCCAAAAGCTAAACTAGCCATAAGCACAAAAAGTGCATTGACCTTGTGGGTAATCCAGTCACTTTGTCTTATGTTCCTGTTTTATTATGCCTTTCTAATCATGCTGAGGCAGACGGTTTCGAAACAGCGCCCTCTAATGGCCGGAACCCCTCCCTCTCAGACCTGTTCAGCCAGGTGTCGGGGCCCGGTGGGCTCACAGACCAGCGGCACCTCAGCATGCTGCTGCACGAGGCCATCCAGATCCCGCGGCAGCTGGGCGAGGTGGCCGCCTTCGGGGGCAGCAACGTGGAGCCCAGCGTGCGCAGCTGCTTCCGAGTGGTGAGCAGCCCGGGGCCCGTTTGTCACAAACCCCACCCACCGGGAATGACCACGCCCATATATGGCATCCAGTGACAGCTAGGCCTCATTGGATTCGCAGCTGCAGGGGGTCTTCAGAGAAGCTTCTTTACAAGGTCAAAAGGGCTCCTCCTCATTCAGAGAAAGAATTATTTAATCTCCCCAGTGTTTAGTTATTTACCTTTATTATGTACAGTATTGCTGGTGGGGGGTCCTTGCTCTAAGAAAGGCTGAAATCACCCGCCATAAATGATGTTCACTTCCCAATGAAAGTGTTTACTTCAGTACTCACAATAATAACACAATTTATTAGGTAGAGTGACCTTCACGACAGACTGGCACGGAGCGCTTTGGCGCAGGAGCAGCGATTATAATGCTGTCTGAATGCTTTTCCAAAGGGATAGCATGGAATATCCCACAATGCGGGTCTGGGTGTGTTAAGCGATGGCTGTGATTTATCTTTCTGTCAACATGTTCATGCCTCATCTGAGAGGCTCTGAGTTTTGGGCCTGTCCATCCTTTGGGGTTTTTACAGCTGATCCCCTGTTTAATCCTCACTTTATTCACACGGCAGCTCCCATGCCTGCCACTGCTAATTAAAATTCATTAATTTTGCCATTTGTTTCATGTCAACCCTTTTAATCCTGACTGGAATATCAGTGTTCTGCCAGTCAGCCTGTGCCGTTATCGACGTTCATCACCGGCGGCGTTAATGCAGCCTGATAGCACAGTGACACGGTTTGGCGCGTTTAATGTGGTCTGTGGCAAGACTCAGGGAGGGGAGTGCAGGGTGGGGGATTATTCTGTCTCTGTGTCTGCTGAAGGTGACAGATCCTTGGTAACTCGTGTTCCCCTGCTACCGTACTGGTGCAGTGAGGCTGATGGCAGATGAACTGCGTTGGGGCTGTGTTTAAGAGTTGGATCTGTGTTTTTCTGGACTGCATTGCGCTCTGTGTTACACTGTTCCTTCATGTACTGTGCTGTCCTGTTGCACTGTGTCTCTTGTTGTGCTCCCCTGCACTGTGCTGTTATACTGTGTCTCATGTTACGCTCTCCTGTGCTTTGCTGTTGCACTGTGTCTCATGTTACGCTCCCCTGCACTATGCTGTCACACTGTGTCTCAAGTTACACTCCCCTGCACTGTGCTGTTACACTGTATCTCATGTTATGCTCCCCTGCACTGTGCTGTTACACTGTGTCTCATGTTATACTCCCCTGCACTGTGCTGTTACACTGTCTCACACCCCAAGGTGATAGAGCTGCCTGTGCTTCCCAAACCCCTTTGTTAGATTTTCCTTTTTCCCCCTGTTGTCACTCTCACTTCCTCACCCCCCGCCCCCACTGCACCTCCTCCTGGTTCCTCCTCATCATTCAGGCCCCGGGGCGGTCCGCCATCGAGCTGGCCCACTTCCTGGAGTGGATGAGCCTAGAGCCGCAGTCGATGGTGTGGCTGCCGGTGCTGCACCGCGTGACGGCCGCCGAGTCGGCCAAGCACCAGGCCAAGTGCTCCGTCTGCAAGCAATGCCCAATCAAGGGCTTCAGGTCAGCTCAGTAGGGGGCACTGTGGAGCCAACTTATATTCCCAAGGCAGCATTTAATGGACACAGTTAATCTGTTTTCCTGCTCCAACTGAGGGCCATTACAGTTCATGGTACAGCTGACAGTAGTCAGCAGGTGGCATAATTGTTAAGGATATGAACCTAGTGGCTACCTGTTCAAATCCTGCAGGGACTTTTGGAGTTTTTGGAACCTTTTGCAAAATACTGAATTGGTCCAATAAAACATAAAGTTTCGACATATATACATCTAATAAACATCTAATATACATATTTATATAGTGAGCATGTGTGTATAGACAAGATCCTAGCTATAGATTCTAGCTGTGTGCCAAGGTTGTCTTGGGTATATGGGCAGTTCCGTGACCTCGGCGTCTCATTCCAGGTACCGCAGTCTGAAGCAGTTTAACGTGGACATCTGTCAGACGTGCTTCCTGACAGGACGCACCAGCAAGGGCACACGGCTGCACTACCCCATTATGGAGTATTACACCCCGGTAAGGGGGTCATTTCAGCCCCGACTGCAGCCATTTAAGGCTTTAAGTTCCTTTGGGAAAGTGTTTCCTTGAAATGTCTGGCTCGGCGGGTTGGGATACTGTGCCTATGGTCAGAAGGTTCAGGTTCAAATCCTGAGTTTAACAGAAGGAATCATCCTTGAGCAATGCCCTTTGTCGCCTAAAGGATTGACCAGCCCAGCCTCTGAGGTATCTGCAGACATGGATTTCATTAATGGCAGCTGAGTTATTCAGAACACCAAGGCACAATTAAATGTGGGAATGCCCAAAATCGTCCCTCAGCTGAATCCACAATCATAGATGAATGACTCCACAATCATACAGTAGATGAACCTGACTGAATGACCAGGGGATACTAGAGGCAGCTGATTGAGATGGCAGTTAAGCTGGGTTGAGGTGGGGTGGGTCTGCAGGAAAGATCTCACTCTACATTACCCTTCTACTTGTCTCCCCACCTTTCACATCAACGCTCGGGACAGACGACCTCTGGGGAGAAGATGCGCGACTTCGCCAAGACGCTCAAGAACAAGTTCCGGTCCAAGCAGTACTTCAGCAAGCATCCGCAGAGAGGCTACCTTCCCGTGCAATCTGTGCTGGAGGCAGAGACCGTGGAGAGGTGAGCATGGTCAACCATGGTGGGCGTGAGATCAGTAATGAACTAGCAGCTCTAACAGAGCAGATCACTGACAAATTCATACCCATAACCAGTCCCTGTGACACTGCATAGGACAAGCAGAATTATTTTGCTACGATTCTTTCATTGAATCACTCTTGTTGGGACTTAACTGGAAAATCAGTGACTGCCTCTGACCCACTAAGAAATTGTTCTTATTGACTTGCCTGGAAAAATAATGGTTAAAGCAAATAATAATAATACCTGGTGAATGAATGAATGAACATTGCCAATGTAATTTTGCTAATAAACTGTTTCATCATCATTCAGATCACTGAAAGCCTGACGGGCCTGGTGTGGTATTGGTTGGGAAAGTCAATAGGATGCAGTACAGTTAAATCGTTCCCCGATTCTGAAATGTAAACGACAGTACTAGAAAGTGTGAGGGGGCAAAGCAAACAAAGAGCAGTAGGGGGAGACAAAGAGCTTTCAGACCAGGGAAATGGAGGCAGTTTCAGTTTGTCAGCCAATAACCTCACATGATCAGCTCCGTGACTGTAGTACTTGTGTCTCTGTGCCCCCAACCTCCCCAGCCCCGGCTCCTCCCCCAAGCTGCCGCACGCCGACACGCACTCCAGGATCGAGCACTTCGCCAGCAGGTAGGAGCAGACCTCTGTCTGAAGAGACCCTCCGTGTGTGAAGAGCTCAATTGTATTTGCAGTCATTCATTTAACCAATGCTCTTGTTCAGAGTGATGCTCGCTCCCTAAAGCTGCCACTGTTCATTTGAAAGAGCAAGGTGATCAAAATGACCTCCTTTCTTGCTTTGTCTTCTGTTTCCCTTCGATTGTTTGAACTAAATCCTACTCCTTTAACCTGCTCTTAATTTTATTTAAACTGTATCTCTTTAGTGAGCACCTTGCTGCTGAGGGATGTGTACTTCAGAATGATTTTGCAACAGTTCATTGAATCATTCTTGTTTGGACTCAACTGGAAGATCAGTGACTGCATCTGACCCCTATAAATAGCCATGGACTGTTAGTCTCATTCTGCTTTTCATAGGCTTGTCTTCTTGGTTTTATCCTCCTGGCCTTGTCTGTTTAGCTTATTTCTTTTGGGCTTATCTTAGAGTATCCTCTTAGCCTCATTGTGCTAGGAGTGTCTTAGCTTGTCCTGTTAGCCTCATTGTGCTAGGAGTGTCTTAGCTTGTCCTGTTAGCCTCATTGTGTTAGAGGTGTTTTAGCTTGTCCTCTTAGCCTCATTCTGTTGGACTTGTCTTAGCCTGTCCTCTTAGCCTCATTCTGTTAGGCTTGTCTTAGCCTGTCCTCTTAGCCTCATTCTGTTAGGCTTGTCTTAGCTTATCCTCTTAGCCTCATTCTGTTAGGCTTGTCTTAGCTTGTCCCCTTAGCCTCATTCTGTTAGTCTCATTCTTTTGGGTGTGTCTCAGGTCCGTCCTTTTGGCCTTGTCTTGTTGAATTTTATACTCATATTGGTCTTCATTGTTAATCTCATTCTGCTGTACCTTACACTTGTTTTGTCAGTCTTGTATTGTTACTACTTCCAGTTTGCCTTGTGTTGTTAGCTGCACCTAATGTGATGACTCTAAAATGGAGGACACCTGTGTCCAAAAAGGAGGACTAAGGCTCAAAAAGGAGGACATGCATGAATAGCTGTGAAGTGGGGGAGGTGGGGGTGTTGTAACATATACATTGTAACATATACATACTATGGTAGCCAAAAACAATATAGCTGTTAATATATTATCTTGTTTTCTTGAGTGGACAGCGTTAAAACATAATTGCAACCATGGCTGCGATCGGCCTCCGTATTCAGAGTGTGCAGATGTCTCGTGTTTTTTGTGCAACCAGGGGTGAGGGAGAGTAGCACTCGATGGGGAGGCGGGTGGGGGAAGGAGAAATGGAAGACAAAGGAGCTAAAGGGAGGACACCCTACAGTCCTGACAGAGGACTGCAAAAGTGGACTGTCCGGTTTGCCTTGTGTCGTTAGCCGCTTCCTGTTTTCCTTGTGTCATTAGATGCTTCCCATTTACCTTGTGTTATTAGTCAATTCCTGTTACATTAGCTGCTTCCCATTTTGTTAGCCATTTCTCATTTGTCTTGTGTTTTTAGCCACTTTGTGTTTGCCTTGTGTTGTTAACTGCTTCCTGTTAGCCTTGTGTTGTTAGTCCCTTCCCATTTGCCTTGTGCTATTAGCAACTTCCTGTTCGCCTTATGTTGTTAGTTGCTTCCAATTTCATTAGCTGCTTCCTGTTTGCCTTGTATTGTTACCGCTTTCTGTTTGCATTGTGTTGTTATTGCTTCCCATTTGCCTTGTGCTGTTTTCTCCATCCCATTTGCCTAGTATAGTCGCTTCCTGTTTTCCTTGTGTCGTTAGCCACATCCCATTTTCCTTTGCGTCTTTAGCCATTTCCCGTTTGCTTTGTCTTGTTAGTCACTTTCTATTTGCCTTATGTTGTTGATCTCTTTTTGTTTGCCTTGTGCCATTAGCCAATTCCTATTTACCTTGTGTTGTTAGCTTCTTCCTGTTACATTAGCCGCTTCCCATTTGCTTTGTGTAGTTATTTGTTTCCCATTTCGTTAGCCATTTCCTGCTTGATTTGTGTTGTTAGCCACTTCATCATTTCATTAGCCACTTCCTGTTTGCCTTGTGTTTTTAGCCTCTTCTCATTTGCCTTGTGCTATTAGCAATTTCCTGTTTGTCTTTTATCGTTAGCTGCTTCCAATTTCATTAGCTCCTGTTTGTTTTGTGTTGTTTGCCAATTTCCATTTGTCTTGTGTTGTTAACGCTTCCCGTTTGCTTTGCATTGCTATTTGCATCCCCTTTGCCTTGTGTTGTTAGCTGCACTTTGTTTGTTTTGTGCTGTTAACTGCTCATATTTGCCTTGGGTCTTTAGCTGCTTTCCATTTATCTTGGTTTGGCTTGTTGTGTTATTTTCATTCTGTTAGGTATACAGATGTGCATAATGATTTCAAGTAGGTGGATGAGGGAGGGACTGGCTAGGCTTTAGTGGTATTCCGGTAGTACTGTATAGCACTCTATTTTTGGTAAAAAATTCCACATCCCCCCAGAGAATTTTATTGGGAAATACCAGAGTAGTGTTGCTTTTTAAAATGCCTTATATTGCAGCATTATGTCTGGACAGAATGATGGTATTAAAAATTAGCTATCACCCAAGTGTAGTGCTTGCTTTGGGGGGGGGGGGGGGGGGGGGGGGG